GGAGCCTGGGTGCCTCAGTCGTTAAGCATCTGCCTTCGGCTCAGGTCGTGATCTCGGGGTCCTGGGATCGAGTCCCGCATCGGGCTCCCTGCTCCGCGGGAAGCCTGCTTCTCCCTCTCTCACTTCCTCTGCTTGTGTTCCCTCTCTCACTGTGTCTCTCTCTGTCAAATAAATAAATAAATAAATCTTAAAAAAAAAAAAAGATAAAGCCCTCAAGGGGCCCCCAGATCAGAGGGACAGAAACAGTATAAAATACATGATGAGGACAGTGATAAAGACAACACAGTGTTATGGGAGATTCAAGAAAGAACCATAAACCCAGCTGAGGTGGGGGCGGGGGGGTAGGTATCAGGGACAGCTTCCTGGAGGTGGCTGCCTGAATGTACTATTATAGGATGAGTAGGAATTTTCCAGACTGACATTGGGGGAAGAGAGGGCATTCCACACAGAAGGGACTTGAGAGCTAAGCCAACAAGAGTAGAAAGAGCCTCGTGTACTTTTGGCTTGGAGGGTGGAGACCGGTCAAGGCCAGAGCTTTGGAAAGCAGGACTAATGAGCCTTATTGGGCAGGAGAGGGAAGGAAGCAGCAAGGCTGGGGGCAGTGAGGGGCGGGGGAACAGAGAGCTCTTCCTCTCCTGGGCTCCTGCTCTGCATCCACACTCGGGAAAGGATCACTTCTGACTGTCACGCCTGACCCCGCCATTTCAGACCCTCTGCCTCCCCAAACCCCTGTCTGAGTCTATTTTCTCAAGGCCTTGTGTGTACTGCTTTTATTCTCCCATGAAAAGCCTTCCAGTGACAGCTACTTTCCACAGGGGACTCAAGAGCACCAAAAGGCTTCCAGACCAACACTTCCCCAAACGGCCCAGTTGAACTCTAGGGAGTCATTCATAGATGCAAGGGTTTCTTGATTTTAAAAATTAGGAAAATGCTGCATATTTTGGTTCCATCTCAGAAAGACATAGTACATGTTAGCATATTAAACAAGGCCCTGAGAAGGCCTGCAGAGGAAAACCTGTGTCATTTTGTTTAACCCAGCAGCTCACAACCATATTTGACCAAGGAGCATTTGGGGACATCTCTAATAGAAGTGTTCTGCTAGACACAACTTGGGAAATGCAATTCTACCAAAAGGAATGGCCAAAGGGTCAACCAAAGAGTCAACCAAAGGAATGACTCTCTAATGGAAGAATTGCTGATGGCAGATTAAGTTCTTTCTGTGCAGGGGATCTTTCCAGCCCACCATCAGTAGAAGGCACCTTTGGCCTAAAGGACCTGACAACTGGCCACCACACTTTCTTATGTGCATCAATTGGACTGACCCAGTAAGCGACCATGCTCAGCCATGGTCTCATTTCTCCCTGAGCTTGAGCTGAGGTAACCAATCCTCCTCCCCTGTCCTCACTCTCCACCCACTCTCAGTCCTAACCCCATCTGGCCAACCCTGCCATAGCTCAGAATTGCTGGGCTGGAAGATACTGCAAGGGGGTCTCATTCATGCTACACACAGAAAAAATCAGCCATCGTGGTCTTCATGAGTGTTATTCACCAAATAATCACAGATCTTTCCACTCCTCGCTACATTGTAAGGTCACACATTTGGGTTCCCTTGTGGTTGACTGAGGCCAGTGAATGACCAAAGAGCATGAGCAGAAGTGGCTCGTGTTTCTTCTAAGCCTGACATTTAATTGCCATTATGAGACCCTTGAGAGTCTCTTTCTTTTCCTATAGGATGGCAACCAGAAACATTCAAGATGGTGGCTGTTCTGTCAACTTGGAGTGACTATGATGAATGGAGCCACTCTGCCAACCCATGACAGACATGCGTGGTAAAAGAGAAAGGACCCATTGTAATCTGAGCCACTGAGATGTGGAGGTTGTTTGTTACTGCAGCATATCTTAGTCTATCCTGACAGAGGCAAGTTTTTATTCTGATGAGGCGTATTGTGGGCCATGAGGACAAAGAGAGCAGTCAGCAGAGGTGGGGAGAGTGGTAAATGTAAAGGCTCAAAGGGATAGGGGAGTGGTAGGAGATAAAGTGGAGGAGGTAACCAAGGGCCCGATCCTTTGGAGTCTTTGGGGCATTGTAGGGATTTAGGATTTCATTCTGAATCAGACAGGAAGCCATCAGGAGGTTTTAGGAAGACAGGTGACAGACAGGATCTGGTTTGTGATGTTAAAGGACTCTTCTAGCTGCTTTGTGGAATATAGACTGTGGAGGAGACCAGCAAGGCCACTGCACTAATGCACATGGGTGATGGGGGGGACTTGGACGAGCGTCAGCAATGGTGGTGCCAACAGGACTTGCTCAAGGTCTGGGAGGGAGGGGCTGGGAGAGCAGGAGTGAAGGTGTGATCAGAATGGTACCGAGTCTGAAGCCAAAGCAGTGGCATCTCTAAGAAAGCCAAGCTGCACAGGTCTCACGCAGGGGACCTCCTCATTCAGGTCTCATTGTGGAGCTTTTCTGCTGGGAAGGTCACCAAGAAAGAAGAGAGATGCTCCGTCCTGACATCTAACTCTGGGTAAAGCAGGAGCTAGGGCAGGGGCCGGGTTCTGAGGGAGTCTGCCAGGCCCTGAGGTCTGGAATGCCATTAAAAGTGTGCATGCCAGGCCCGTTGGCCCATGGTCAGGATGAATCTGCCACTGCTCCCTCTGACAATGTTTAGCATGAAATAAAAAGTATGGCTTTCAAATGATACCACAAGGAAGATTCTTGAGCAAATATGGCCAGAGCCGCTCTGCAGAATGTTCTTAGAGGCTGGGATTCCATTCGCCTCCAGCCCTCTTTTTCCATCTGGTCCTTCCCAGCCCTGCACTGAGGTCCAGCCAGACAATTGCATTGGCCTCCTCACAGGTCCCCCGCCTTCCAACCCTTCCCCTCCAACTGCACTCATGGCTGCCAAATTAATCTTCCGTACCTCCCCCTCCTATTCAAAATTCCTCTCTATCTTCCTGCAGCCAGTCAAATCCCTCAGACTGCCAATCAGAGTCTCCACAATTTGTTTCAAACATATCTTTTCTCTAGTTGTTGTGTTTATGTCCCCCAAATCTTCCTGTTTAACCTAACCTCTACCCTTCAGTCACTATGGATGACCTACAGAACCTCAAAATACACACTGAGCTTTCTACACTTCCCACGGCTGGACCCTTGCCCAAGTCTTTCCCTCTGCTGGGAATAAGGTCCTTCTTCTCTTCAGTGCTCCAGATTCTCCCCAGCTGGTGTCCATCACCCACTGTGATGGGTGGTCTTGCAGCCAAGCTCCTCATGTGTGGATCATGCTTTCTTGTGGATATGTGTAGACTGGTCTTATGTTCTCTGCTAGGTTGAGGGCTCCTTGAATGCATGGGCCACATCTGGCTCATCTTTGAATCCTCAAGAGCCCTGAGCACATGCTGTCACCTGTAGCAGAAAACTCAACTCAAGCTGCCTTAAACAATGAAGGGGAATTGATTAGCTCATGTCCCTGGAAAGTCCTGTGGTGGATCTGGTTCAGAACAAGCTAGATCCAGGTGTTCAATTAACGTCATGAGGAAGAGCCCCTGTCAACCACTTCACTGTCTTCCATTGTGTGGGCCTCATTCTTAGACCGTCCTTCCCCAACCTGGTAGCAAAGATGTCCAGTGGAAGTTACAGGCTAAAGTCCCACTCTCTTAGCTACCCAGTAGACAGAACGAGTTTCTTATTTAATAATTTCATGAAGGACCTTGGAGGAGATTCTGACTGACCAACCAGAGCCAGATGCCAATGTCTCCACCGATGGCTATGGCCAGGAGGATGGATAATTCTGTCCCGGCCTAGGCCATGTGTTCATGTTTGGTGCCAGCCAGTAGGCCAATTTGACTAAACTGTATGGGCTAAGAACATGGGAGGTCAGACGCTGTGAAGGAGATATGGGTGCTGTGACCTAAAGAAGGAATGAGGGATGCTGAGAAGCCAAAAACAACAGATGTCCATGACAGACATTTTCTGTGATAGCACATTCCAGCAAACAATTTGGCACCTCTTTTCTTAGATTGATTTTGACAACCATGCTCAAAGAAATTAAGGTTTCCATCTTGGCTTATTTTTTTGGCCATAACAGCAAGCTCATATAACGATTCAAACAGAACAACAGGGAGTCAGGGGCATCAGTTAAGACATAACTGGGAGAAATACAAGTATTGGTACTTTTTTTACAAAAAAAAAAAGGAATATTGAATGCGTGGTTAGATGGAAGGAAGAAAGGAAGGAAGGAAGAAAGGAAGGAAGAAAGGAAGGAAGAAAGGAAGGAAGGAAGGAAGGAAGGAAGGAAGGAAGGAAGGAAGGAAGGAAGAAAGGAAGGAACGAAGAAAAGAAGGAAGGAAGGAAGAAAAGAAGGAAGGAAGGAAGAAAGGAAGGAAGGAAGGAAGAAAGGAAGGAAGGAACGAAGAAAAGAAGGAAGGAAGGAAGGAAGAAAAGAAGGAAGGAAGGAAGAAAGGAACGAAGGAACGAAGGAAGAAAGGAAGGAAGGAAGGAAGGAAGAAAGGAAGGAAGGAAGAAAGGAAGGAAGGAAGTACTGTTTTATTTATTTGATTGTGCCACTGTCATATTAAAACCCTGTTAAAGGGCACCTGGGTGGCTCAGTCAGTTAAGCGACTCTTGATTTCCACTCAGGGCATGATCTCAGGGTTGTGAGATCAAGCCCCACATTGGGCTCCCAGTGGGGAGTCTGCTTGAGATTTCCTCTCCCTTTCCCTCTGCCTTTGCCCCTCCCCCTGCTCTCTCTCCCTCTCTAAAAATAAATAAATAAATCTTCTTAAAGAAATCCTGTTATAATGGGCCCCATTAAAAAGACAGTTCAAAGAAGGTTCAATTAATAGAAAACCCTATTGCAGTGGTTTAAATAGGAGCTTACTGATCTCACACAATTGTTTATGGATATGTACATGGTGTGTGCCACAAGAATAATTTTTGCAGGCATATCTACCAAAGGATGTTAACATTAGTGGGCATAAGGTTAAGGAAAAAAAAAATACTTACATTATCTCAAAGTATCTTGCCCAAGATATTTATTAATTACAAAGGGAAAAACAGTAAATTTACATTGGAGAAACTCAGCAGACACCATCTTAATGAGGTGATCAGGGCTAAGATCACCACTAATAAGAAATATTGATATCATGTTCCCTGATACAAATGAGAAGAACACAACATCACTTCTTTTATTTTTGCCAAAAATGCAAAACCTCTATCTAGCCTTGAGAAAACATCAAACTCAAATTGAAGAACCTTCTACAAAATAACTGACCAGCAATGTTCAAAAGTGTCAAGTACGAGAGAGAGAAGGAAAGATGGAAGAATGTTTCCCAGCCTGGAGCAGAGGAAGGAGACTTGACAACTAAACTGAGGTGGGACCTCAGATTGGATCCTCAAACAAGAAAAGAACACGAGTGGGAAAACTGGGGAAATCTCTCTTCAGAAGGTCTGGAGTTTCGTTAAGAGTATTGTACTGAAGCTCATTTCCCACATTTGATCATTATGTACCTGGTTAAGGAAGATGTTAGCATTAGGAGAAGCTGGGTAAGGGGCATAAGGGAGCACTCCTCTTACTATTTTGACAACTTTTCTGTCAGTCTAAAATTATTTCAAAGTTAAAGTTAAATAAGAAAACCATGGTGTTAGTTCTTAGTACAATTATAGACCAGTTGCCACCACAGTGCAAAGATTTATAGGGTTAGTGTCCAAATCATATGTACAGACAAGTGATCTTAGAGTTTGGAGGAAGGAGGACACAGTGTGGCCTTGATACTTTTGACGTCTCTAGCTTCAGGCAAGTTCCATGGCTTCTGCTAGACTTTGAAAGCATGGGCCAAAGACAAAGAAGTGTGAATGAATGCCTATGGCATGTTCTGAAGGCTTCTCAAACTTCTTCCCAGGCAAAGAAATGGACTTTGGGCTCTGATCTGGAACTAGCATTCTGGAATTCCAGGACTGTGTGGGAGTGGGAAGGGCATGGGATTAGCTGTGGGACATGGAAAACTTGGGAAATAAAGGTGGCATCTTCAGAGAAATCGGTTATGGAAGAATACACGCTGGGTTCATTTCTGTATTTGAAAAGACACAAAAATCAGAATGACGTCTGAGACTAAAGCCAGAGCACACATGTTAGAGAGCTTTTAAGGGCACCAAGCTGATTTAGATCAGGCTACTGCAGAGCAAATATTTCTTTAGAGGAGCAATGAAAGATGTGGAGTTAGCTAAGGAGTTGTACTTACCTCAGTCTCATGTCAACCAAACTTCCACACCTCCTCCAACTTCAGTGTGCACACGGAGCCCCCAGGGATGTTGTTAAAATGCAGATTCTGACTCAGTAGTCTGGGATGGAGCCTGAGATTCTGCATTTATAACAAGTCCCCAGGTGATGCCAGTGCTGCCGGTCCGCAAACCTTGCTTTGGGGAGTAACGGTACAGACCACTGGAGACGTTTGAGCTGCGGAAAGACAGTGAAGACAACGGTGATCTGGGAATATGTTCCACAAGGCTGTGTTGGTTCTGAATACCTTCCTGGTCTTCATGTATGGATAGTCACAAGCAGAGTTAACATGGAAAGCTGAAAATTTTGTATGAAAAGCCCTATCGGGCAAATAGCACCAGTGTGAAGAGCAGGTGGGAACATAGGATCCAGAGGTGAAGCCACAATGCATCTATAACACAGACTGTTTCAATCAGTCCATGGAGCACAGCCCTGAACCCACAGATGGGTGGCACGGGGCCTCCCAGGGGCAGTGGAGACCTGGCCAGGCGAAGGCTCTCTGATGACCACTTTACTGCCACCAGTGCCTTTGGCCTGGCTGTGCAGTAGGTCCAGCAAGCCCAGTTCTTCCCCATCCCTTCTCCTGTCATCACATAGCACATATCCTTACATCCCTTCATCCCTTCCCAGCTCAAACATCCCATTACCCAGGAAAGGACCTTCCAGCCTTCCCACCAAAATGCACCACCATATGCAAAAATCCAGGAGCTGGGAGGAAAGGCAAAGATCCTTTGACCTCTCCTAGGGACTCATCTACTGCTCTTCTAGAGAATGGAAGTGAGTTCTACCTCCTCTCCCCACCAGGCAAGTTAGGAACACTACTTTTAGCCATCGGTTGGAGGGCATTTTCATTTTCTGTGGGTATCTGGAAGGTGGGCCTCTTCCCTAAATGATTGGATTCTATTCTACCAAATGAGAAGAGAATGAGTGCTTCCTACACACACTGTGGTGACCAAAACACAGCCTTTGCCTTCAAGATGCTCCTAGTCTCCTGGGAAAGAAGAAGGCAAAGGTAAAACCGAAGCAGGTGCCAAAGGCTGCAGGAACCCAGAGGTAATGCCTGGGGAAAGCAGGAGTTGGAGAACTGAGAGCTAGACCCTGAGTAAGGGAGTCTGGTGGCTCCGTCCCACAGCCCCACCTTCTCCCCACAAGACACCCTAGTGTCTACCGTCTCCACGTGGACTGTCAAGACCTTTGGCTGGTGGGGCTTCCCTGCTATTAGGTGCAGACTCCATAGCAAACCCTGCACACCAGTTCAGTTGAGCCCCACAAGGCACACTGTCTTTGCATTCCCCACAATTGAAGTCTTCCTTACAACTGCCTGTTTCTCCCCAGGTTTCTAAAGCATGGCCCCAAAATCTTCCTGAACCCCTTTGCTCTGAGTCTTGGTGTTCACTCACTGCCCTGGCTTCAGGGTCCCTGGCCAGAGGGTGGACCGCACGCCCTGGCAGCTACGGCACCACCCCACCCTCCCCACTCTCTGAGCAATAAGGACAAGAATCCCACTCACCCACCATTTTCCCCATCATTTGCTTGGTCCTCTTCTCACACTGGCTGTTGTTTGGGAACATCTTCCCCTTTCTCCAGCCAAATCCTAGTATTCTAAGTCTGTGTTCACGGACATCAGCTTGGGATCATCTGTTTGATGGTTGTTTTCAATAAGCCCAAACTCATCCCTCGGGTATCTGACAGATAATGTTTTTGAGACTCACCCATGTTGTAGCAGGTATCAGAATTCCATTCCTTCTTATGGCTGAACGATTGTCCCTTGTATGTATATGCCATCATCCGTTTAATCCATTCATCTGCCGATGGACATTTGGGTGGTTTCTGCTTTGGGGCTATTGCGAATGATACTGCTGTCGACATTTGGGTGCAGGTTTCGGTGTGGCTCTGTTTTCGTTTCTCATGGGTGTGCACATAGGTGTGGAATCGCTGGGTCATGTGGTCGATGCTGAACTTCATGAGAAACCACCAAACCGTTTCAACAGCAGCAGCACCATCTCGCTCTCCCTCGCTAGCGTGCCGAGACTGTATCTCCAGCACCTCCATGGTGCCTGGCACACGCAGTTGCACGGTACCATGTACTGGAGAAAGAGGTTGGAAAAGGGAAGTAAAAGGGGAAGATGGAGAGCTGGACAGTGTCCAGAGCAAGGGGAGCTTTGCCTGCTTTAGTGAGGAGTATAGACTTTATCTTGTGGGTAAGGTGAAGACTTTCAAGGGTCGCATCAGAAAGCCCACTGCAGCAACAGTGTGGAGTATGGCTTGGGCTCGATCAGAGGAGAAGCAGGGAGACAGACCAGTTAGGCGGCAGTTGCAATAGGGCCAGGAGAAAGATGTGGGGGAAGGTCTGAACCGAGGCAATCATGCAAGGGATGGGAAGGAGAGAAGACAAGCCTGATGAATGGAAAGAAAAAAATAATCTGCCAGTTGGGCTAATCGATTAGATTTCAGGGCAGAGGGGAAGGTGGGATTGTGACTCATTTCCAGGTTTATGTTTGGATGATGGGACCGACGGAGGGGCTGGCGCCGGTGGGCACAGTAGGTGCCGATGCGTGGTGGTGCGTTCTTCACGTTGGCTGTGGAGTATTTAGGCTGCCTGGGGGGCGTGAGGGTGAGCGGTAGATGGTTGAATCCCAAACTCAGGAGAGAAGGGAAGGGGATAGGGAATTGAGGGTTGTCGGCACCATCACTGACATCACTGGGTGCATGAGATCCTAGGGATATGGGCAGAAGCAGGAAAAGAGGGGCCTGAAGACAGAGACCCCCCTGCAAACGGCCCCGACCTACCACTACCACTATGCCTTCCCCAATCCACTTAGAAACTTCCTGTTTGGCTCCTTGTTCTCAACAATGATCTAACCTAAGCTGGCCAGAATTCAGTTTTCCAGCCCAGAGACCACCTTCCTCTGCACCCCCACCCCCACGCATGTACTCACATCAGAAGCCATTTCAAGGAATAGGTGCCTGCCTCAATTTCTTTGCCATCCTATCTCATTCGTTCACTTGAATTCATCATTTTCAATCATTGGGGGTATAGGACTACAAAATTTTGTGGAGGAGAGAAAGCTTTGTCTTTTCCTTAAAAGAAAGGATGTTGCCCCTCAGAATGGAGTTTGGTGGCAGTGGGAGCAGAACTGACATGGATGCACGTGCAGCCAGTGTCCGTGCGAGGAATGCAGCCTTGGCCCGGGACTTGGTGCCCTTGGGCCCTGGTGGCAGGGCTGACTCAGGTTCTCGTCCTGAGAGAACCGTCTCTCCCTCCCCAGTTAGACATTCGATTCCTCTGACTCCACTTGGCTCCCGGCGCCTGCCTGCCTCAAGGAGGGGACGAGCTGGCCATGCCAGCGTGGGCTTCCAAACCTTGCCGTGGGGATTTCGCGCGGGACACGAGCTATCCCAGCTCCTGCTTTCATCTCAGTCGTGGGAGCTCGGGGGCCCGGGTGGGGGAGGGCGGGGGTGTCAGTCTGCCCCTGGACTCGCCCTTGATCTGCAGACAAAATGCAGTGCCCCAGCCTATGGGCTGAGACACAGCCCTTGGGCCTGGTCAAGGGCCCTGCCTCCTGCCTGCCTGAGAGGACGCTTCGGAGCAGACAGCCCTCCCCAGAAGGACCTGGGCTCTAGTCTTTTTTTTTTTTTTTTTTTAACTTGGTCTCTCTCCTTTGATCACCTGTCACCTCTTCCTGCAACCGCTCCTCCTTGCTCCTGAGTCTGCCATGAAATTTTAATCTAAATGTTAACAACGAAAAAACCATTCTCCATTTCTATTTTCTAGTTTAACTTTTTAGGGATGGTGTTTTTAGACTTCGACTTCCAGACTGGGAGAAAGTGTATTCATAAAATAACAGTGTTCACAGCTCAGTTAACTGCCTTAAAGTACCATTTCTGGATACATTTTGTGAAGTCACAGTTTAGAAAAACAAAAGCTCCCAAATGGCTTTGAGAATGAAACCATCTTCAGATTGGCAATCAGACTAACTTGTAAACATTTTCTCCCATTTATTTAACTTTCCCCATCCAAATGCAGAGATGGGGAACATAGTGCGTGCAGCAGTGTGTTGATGCTGCTGAGGGGAGGGGAGCTGCCGGGCCCCTGCAGGCCCTTGCATTTCCGTGCACTTCCACCCGCCCCCATGAGCAAGCAGGCACGCGATAATGTGCATGGCACATGCAGACTCCTGTGTAACCAGGAGACAGCCAACAGGATTGCCCCTAAAATATAATCCACATCAGCCTGCAAAACTGCCCCCCTTTTAACCACACCCCCAGGGCCCATTTTGCCCTTCTGACGACTCCCTGTACTTCTTCTACCCAAAGGTTGGCCCTTTCTGACAGTGTTCTTCTCAGTTTTGTCGCTCCAGCCTACCTTTGCTATTAGGACAAATAGTGTTAAAGGAGTGCCTTTTGCGTCCTCTGTATCCTAAAGGTACTGCCTCATTCCATCCTGAACAAAGTTGGGAAGAGGCAATGAGTAACTGCCTTTACGGCCCCACAGCCAAAGCTCGGAGAGGTGCCCGTTAACCTAGTGAGGGCCACCTGGTTGCTAAGCAGTGGAGCCAGGGTCGGAGCCCAGGTGAGGCTGACTCCGCAGCGAGCACACTGTGACATCAGGCAGCTTCACCTGACAGATGGAGAGGTGGCTGTCGGATCACACAACCATCAACTGAGCAAGGAAGAGACAGAAGCAGAACTTGTCTTTGCTCACAACTGTGAGCAAAGGTATTTCTGGCCAGTGTTTTTCTTACCAGAAATGGAGCTGCCCAAGTATTTATTTGTAAGAGGTACAGTGTAGTACAATAGGAAAAACATCCGCCCCAGAACCAGAGGCTCAGGGACTCAGGCGTTTGCACTTGGAAGCTGGGGGGACCTTGAGTAGGTGTAAATCACCCAGACGCTCTGTTCCTGTTTCTTCCTCTGTCAAGTGAGGATAAACAATGCTTGCCCTCCCTTTGTCTCACGGCTGCCGTGAGGATCGATGAGGCGATGGAAGTGACAATTACAAAATGTTCTACAAATCATGTATAAATGCGTATTTTTATATTGATGTATTTCTGCCTGATAAAAGAACATTTTGGGGTCATTGAATCCATTCCTTTGCTCTGCTCTTGGACATAAACATTCAATTTCTCTTGGCCTCAGTTTCCCTATCTGGAAAATATGGCCATGGGGTTCACTGAACCCTAAGCTTCTTTCTAGCTCTGACCCAGGGCAGATTTATGACTCTTCCTGATTCCTACCCTGCTTTCCAACCAGCCCCTGGTGACTAGGAGAACCCAGAGGTGGGGTTCCCTCACACAGAGCCATCTGTCCTCTCAACCAAGAGGAAGCTGGAGGGTGTTCGACTGCAAACAATGGCAGAATTAAATTCAGAGAGGAATAATAAAGTTTATCCCCTCCACAGTGTTTATCAGTGAACATTATGTGCCACATGGTATGGTGGGAAGAAGACTGGGTGGAAGAAACGGTCCAGAGCAGGAGACAGACTTTAAACCACTATCTTCCCAGGTAATTATTTAACTGGAGGCGTGACATATGCTACGACATAGAGTAAGATTGTTGATCAGGAGATTATATGATGGGGCAGGGGGTTCTCAGAAGGATTTCCCAAAGAAGTGGCATTTCCAACTATTTCTTGAAGAAGGATCTGGATTGAGCAGGGCATGGGAGGGGGTTGAGAAGAGGTTAGAGGATATTCCAGGCAGAAGGAATGTCCAGTGCCAAGGTCTTTTAAAGAGGAAAGTTCTTGATCTATCCGAGTTGCTGAAAATAAGTTGATTTGGCTGTGATGCTAGTGACGGGGAGAGTGGCATGACATGAGGTTCCAGATATAGACAGGAACAGATCATGCAGGGTCTTACAGGTCAAGATGAAGAGTCTGAGGTTTATCCTAAGAGCACAAAGATGCCACTGGAAGGTTTTAAGCTAGAGGATATGTTCCAAGTGATTGTCCAGAAAGATCTCTGAGGCAGCAGCAAGTGTACTAGAGGGGTGTATGAGTGGGTGCACCCAAACCAGTCAAGAGGCTAGTGCAGTGGTCAAAGTCAAGAGCAGACCGTGGCTGGGACCAGGACGGTGGCCATGGAGATAAGAGAAATGTGGAAGGAGTTGAGAGATACTTAAGAGGTGGAACGCTCGGGACAGAGTCATTGATTGGGGGTAGCGGGGGAGAAAAAGGGAAGTAATTTATATATGCTATGTATTCTAATCTATTGGGGTTGCGGGGACCATGACTCCCAATTTCCAGATAAAGTCTCTGAGAGGCTAAGGGACCTGTCCAGATAGAGGAGCTGAAAAATTAGGTTCCCAGAACTCTCAGCTCTTACATCATAATTATTTCAGGTATGTAAAGGCTCTTGTCCCAAGTGACTCATTCTAGGTGCTATCATTACTTCACAGAAAACTCAAGGAAGGTCTGATTTCATGTGTATTGCATGCCAAGCACACCACGGCAAAGGCTATATGATGAGAAGGGACCGGAGTGAGCAAGTGACATCATGGGCCAAATAGGGTCGCTGCTCAAACGTGCACTGCAGACTCCTTACACAGTCACCTAATTATAGTGCCTGAGGAAGCGCTGTACAATAACTCACTGTACGGAAGCCAATGGGTAACTGTCAGTGGGCCAGACGGTCTTTTCAATCGGAGTTGATATTTGGAAGTTAATGTGTAACAAGCTCAATGAGGTTTTTGTGGTGGGATCTTTCATGTCCAGGAGAAAGGCCTGTCCAGCTTGCGAGTGAACAGGCTCTTCCATACTCCAGAGTTAAAAGTCTGCCTGACCTTAAAGCCTCCTCTCCTCGCGTCCCAATGAAAGGGAACAAAGTTCACGTAAATAAGTGTATATCCGACGCACAAGGCAGCATTCACATGCCGCCACCCCTCCAACTGCACTGACCCAATGTGGTTTGGCCAAGGCAAACAGAGACTCCTTTCCAAATGTTCTGGTTTTAATAATTATAGTTAAATAACGTCCCTAAAATCCCCAAATGAGGCAGAGTTTGCAAACCGAGTCTCTCCAAGCTCAAGGTCATGCCGTCTCATAACCAATGTAAGCCTCGGGTTCCTCGTGCACAATGAGGACAGTCTCTACCTCACAGCTCAATGGTGACAGCAAATACCTGGAAAGTGTCTCACAACGGGCTTGGCTCATGGCAAGAGCTCAACAGTGGTTCCTACCGATCCCAACAGAGTGGCAATAGAGTCCATGAAACATTTCAAAAGAGAATTAAAGTGAATATAAATTATACAAATAGTACACTGATTTATTCAGAATGAGACTGACGTTTGAGCATCACACATATATCTGAGCTACTATTTAACATAAAGTAACAACGCAGTTCCCACTCAATGGCTAAAATTTTACTGGTCGTATTGGCTTTGCTCTGCTCTCCCTGAATGACTCATTCATGATTCCCCAAGTACTTCAAGGTCTTCCTATGCTTTCGATCCTTGAAAACAGCCCAGTTTTGGAAAGTGCACTGAATAATGCCAACGCCGTTTCCCGCCTCTCGCCTGGATTTTGCCTTCCTTCGGTTGATAAACATGTGCTACTCTTACTGAATTGATTCGTGCCAGATACGCTGCTCGATGCTGGGGCTCTGCAAACAGATGGATGCTCTGGTCACTGGCATCACACAATTCACGTTCTAGGGGGCTGAGGGCCTGGAGCCCCGGGTCAGATGTGGTGTGCAGAGAACACAAGAGCGGTAAATCCCCTCTGTGGGGGAGAAAGGCACAGGAAGCTGCTGCCTTAGCTCCAGAGGGAGAAGTAGTCAAGAGCCTGCCTTTTCCTCAATTTCATCATCTGACCGAGACCCAGAGGGAGGTGCAAGGAAGTTAGTACCAGCAGGTGCCGGGAGAAATGGGTTTATGTAGGTGAGGAGGAGGAGGGAGAGATGCGGACCAGTGGCCAACCGAACCCCACAATGACTTAGTCCCGTGGAGTTCCAGTTCGGATAGACGCAGGGCAGAGGCAAACCCAGCTGCCTTGCAGCTGACACCGACCCGGCCCGGGCAGGCTCTTCTCCTCACCTCACCCCATTCTCCTTAGTGTATCACTTTCTATCACCCTATCCTTAGCTCCTGCCACCCAGAAATTTTTCTCCAGATGGGAGGACTGGCAATCAGCTCCCCTCCCTTGTGTAATCAAATATCTCACCCTGAAGATATGCTCAGACTCCCTGGCCCTGGCTCAGCCCTCCGGTTTACAGCGTGGCACGAAGCAGCCAGCCAGCCGGCCCAGAGCCCCACCAGTTTCTAATTAAAACGGAACAAGTGTTTCTTTAGACACAGACCAAGTTCTTAGAAGAGAAACAACAGGTTCCTCTAAGGTTGGCCTTCAGGGCTCAACAGATGAGCTGTTTGCGAAGGGAAGGTAAATAGGCTGGTTTTAGAAAGTCCAAATGGGTGTATTATTATTATAATCAATTATTTTAACCGTATTTGCCACCTGACACTGACTACAAGAACTTAAATATGTCTCTGGAATGGCATTCAATAGATGGGGGTGGAAATCACATTATTTTAATGTGTCGGAGCTGCAAAAATAAAAAATAATTTCTTACCTCCCTTAGGTTATAAAAATTTACCTAATCCTCTCCATATTGATCATATTCAGCACCATGCTATGGAAATGTAAACATTGCTGAAATAAAAGAGTTTTTATAGTTAAAAGTTAAAAAAAAAACCCACAAAAACCAAAATTCCGAAGCAATCTGTGATTGCCTCCGGGAGGCGAGATTGTGTGGTTCAGCCCTGAGACCACAGGCTTCATTGCCTAAAGGCAGGAGTATTCTTCAAACTACTGAACGGCCATCCCAGAGGCACAGGGCAAGGACTAACCAGCAAACGGAGGCAAGATACAGCGCTGGAGCAGGGAGGTAGAGACCCTTGATATCAGATGGGACCTCTTTATAAAAGCCGCGTAGTGGGGAAAGGAAGTTGGGGGGGTGGTGTTGGAGAATGTACCCCTGAGCAAGAAGGGTGCTAAGCTTACAAGAGCTATTTACCGGGGCACCTGGGTGGCTCAGTTGGTTAAACGACTGCCTTTGGCTTGGGTCTTGCTCCCAGGGTCCTGGGATCGAGCCCCACATCGGGCTCCCTGCTCGGCGGAGAGCCTGCTTCTCCCTCTCCCTCTGTCTGCCGCTTTGCCTACTTACGCTCTCTCTCTATATCTGTTAAATAAATAAATAAATAAATAAATAAATAAATAAATAAATAGAAGAGCTATTTACCAATAGAACAGGAAGATTTCACCCATTTAGCAAGTGGCTCATGTGGACCAGTACACACCCACTAAATACTGGCCCTGCCCAAAGGGAACAGGCAAAAACCTAAGTGAGGGAATAAGCTGGCTGAGGGGATGATGCCCCAAAGGGGCAGACATGACTTGGTTCTTGCCAATTGCTGCTAGGCCTTCTGATTTCTCAAAAGAAGCTAAAAATCTGTGTTTCATTATGGTAAGTAATACACATTAAAAAAATAAAGCCATGTGAGCCAAACCAAACAGGTCGGCAAGTCACCATTTTGTGACCTGTGATTGACAGTGGCCTAGGGTAACAGGCCCACTTGCACCCGTGGCCTCCACGGAAACATGAACCCACCAAGTTGCTCCAAAAGCCAAAATCTCTCTCTACCCCTGAAGCCCCTGCCCTGGTTCAGCCCACCTCATGCCTCACGTGCATTCCCACAACAGACCGAACTGGTCTTCCCACAGCACCACAGACGTTCCCCTCCCCTAAACCTACCACAACCAAGGTGCCTGGCTGGCTCAGTCAGTTAAGCGTCAGCTCTTGACTTTGGCTCTGGTCCTGATCTCAGGGTCCTAATCTCGGGGTTGTGAGATTGACCCCATGTGAGGCTCTGCATTGCGCTCCAGGTCAGGCTTCGTGTAGGGCATTAAGCCTGCTTAAGATTCTTTCTTTCCCTCTGCCCTTACCTCCCCACCCTCCGCCCCCAGCCCCTGCACATGCGCTCTCTCTCTTAAAAAAACAAACCAAACCAAAACACACCCTACCCCCTCCTATTGTAACGACTCTTCTGTCTCACCCAGAGGTTCTGTCTTTTTGTTGCTGCGTTCATAGGCCTAGCATGCAGTTTGGCACCAAAGTCACAGAAAGGGAAAGAAGAGAGGAAGGAAAGAAGTTTTGTTCTGCTATTTCCAGTCCCTTTACTATTTTTTTAAAAGATTTTATTTATTTATTTTAGAGAGAGAGAGTGTGTGTGTGCATGCATGCATGCATGTGAGCTGGGGGAGGGGCAGAAGGACAGGGAGAGAGAGAATCTCAAGGAGACTCTGCTACGGAGCCGGACGTGGGGCTCAATCTCATGACCCTGAGATCATGACCTGAGCTGAAACAGAGTCATTAGCTTAACCGACTGAGCCACCCAGGCACCCCCAGTCCCTTTACTATGTCAAGCCATAGCACCTAATGGTGATATGTGGTATGACAACCCAGCTTTATTTAACTTGGAAGATGCTCACCCAACCAAAGAGGAAATAAATAAGAATTTGACATTGAAATATTTTATATCATAAGAGAAAGCCCCAAATTGAAAGATGCAGCAAAGGCATCTGTAATAGTCATGGTCACCATGTGAACTCTTTCTTTTAAATTCAACTACTGAAGGATTTTTTAATCATGAAAACAGCACCAATTCCTTAATAATTTTTTAGAAAATTGAATTTAAAGTTTAGAAAGGTAGTCTATAGCCATTTCTCCTATAATATTTAATTCCTGAAATGTATATGTTTTTCAGGTCTCAGGAGCTGCTCTTAAAAAGAGAAAGTCCTCAGGGTGCCTGGGTGGCTCAGTTGTTAAGCGTCTGCTTTCGGCTCAGGTCATGATCCCAGGGTTCCTGGGATTGAGCCCCACATCGGGCTCCCTGCTCTGCGGAGGCCTGCTTCTCCCTCTCCCACTCCCCCTGCTTGTGTTCCCTCTCTTGCTATGTCTCTCTCTCTGTCAAATAAATAAATAAATAAAAATCTTTAAAAATAAATTAAAAAAAAAGAGAAAGTCCTCATTTCCCAACAATGTGAATATACTTAACCCAACTGAACTGTATACTTAAAAATGGCTAAGATGTTATATTTTATGTTATGTGTTTTTTGCTACAGTACAATAATATTTTAAATAAATATATTTTAAAAAATAGAGATGGTCCTCAGCCCACTCTCCTTCGTAAGAGGTCCTTAATACAGAGAAAGCAGGCATCAACACAAGGTAAAGAAGTATAAGGAGAGCCATTGAGATAGAGCCCATACCTTGGTCCTGGCATTCCGTAGTCTAGTTCTAGAAACAGCTGTACCGAGGAGCAAATTGTTTGTTTCCCTCTAGTTGTTATGATTCCATCCTTCAGGGGTGTTCATTCATTCAGTAGGCATTTACTGAGGTCTACTACCGAGGCTTTGAGGATATCCTTAAAGCATAGTCTGTGCCCTTCACTTACTCGAAACTCAGATTCTAGCGAATGTGCTGCCAATATACTTGGAGTTGGGGATGAAGTAGGTGCCTGCTAAGGCCCAGCCTCACCATGATTCATCAATCTTTAGCAACATTCACATGCCTGGTCATGAGGTTAGAGATGCCCACAACTTCCTTATTCACTTTTAGGAGCATAAATGTCTCCTCATGAGCTTCCTCCTTGCCATCCTGCTCTGACTGCAAGAAATCCTGAACTTCCCCAGGCAGCAGGACAAACGCTTAAGGCAAAATGAATGGTGTGGAGGCATCTGTTTATGCCCAGTGGGCAAGAAAATGTAAACGTAACCCACCGCCATGTTTTCTCTGAGACTTCTGCTTTCTGCACCCCTGGAAATTCACCAAGTAGCAGTGATTTCTTCTCAGGCTGGCTCCTGAGCAAGGCACTTGTCCATCCAACCAAAGCTTTCCCAGTGGATTGGTGGGCATTAGATTGAAGGATATTAGACCCAAAAGAGAGCTTAGAATCAAGAACTCTCATTTTATAAATAGGAAACCCCAAGAGCTGGTAAATTTCCCAAGCTCACAGCAAATTATTGGTCAAGTTTGAACCAGAACTCAGGTATCCTGACTCCCACCATAATTTTTGTTAAGTCCAAGATACCTCTACTAAGAGAATTGGAGAAGACTTAAGCTATAGCTGGTCCAGTTTCAGACTCTGATCACATAAATGTTTTAAAAGTCTTTCATGTTCATTTTGAATGTCTTTTTGGCAACTCTCTGGATTAAGGTAATGATGGCAACACCTATATCCAATCAGGGATTTTATGCAGAAAGGCAGGAGAGCCTGCCAGGAAGCCCCCCACCCTGGTGATTGGATCATGTTATAATCTTGGGTCTAGTTCCATGGGAGCTTGAGGGCCCAGACTTCAGTTCAGTTGTCCAGTCGGTGGAATGATAGATGTCACTGTGGGCTCTAGAACACATCTCCATGCCTCTGTATCTTCATGAGTGAAATGATTTATTGCAAAACTCTAGTGAGGGTATTGTGAAAACCAGAAGGCAGTGTAAGCTGTGGGTAAATGTTTGTGAGTTTAAGATAGAACACTTTTCGGTAATAATGTATCAATCTAGGTTCATCCCTTATAAGGAATGTGCCATTCTGGTGGAGGATGCTGATGATGAGGGAGGCTCTATGTGTGTGTGGGGAGGAGGGGTGGCAGGGGATAGATGCCGGAAATCTCTGTACCTTCCTCTCAGTTTTGCTGTGAAACTAAAACTGCTCTAAAAATAAAAGTATATTAAACAATAATTTTTTTTAAAAAGATAGCACACCTCTAATCTACATTTCCTCTATTATCATATAGTACCTTTCCTCTTAACTCAAAATATGGGGTGCTCCATTTTATGGGCAGAAAGACGGAGAATCAAGAGGTTGTAGTGGGGCCAAGACAGAAACAGTGCTTGCAACTGCCCCGATCAGGCAGCCGGTCTCTCAACTCAGCCATATCGTCTTCAGGGTCTTGAGGGCACCTGAGGCACCAAGTTTCCCAGGTCTCCTCGAGCTCAGAATCAGAAGGAACACGACTACTCTGTGTTGTCACGGGGAGTGTTTCATGGAGCAGTGTTCATGACCTCTTGCTTCAGAGTCACTTGGGACACTTGTCACAAATGCAGAATCACGGGCCCTGCCCCAGGGTCTTACTGAATCCTAATGACTGGGAATGGGGCCCAGGACTTGATATTTCTAGTAATTGTCCCCAGATGACTCTGATGCAGCCCGATGTATTAGAATCAGTTCTGCTGATATTAGATCACCCTTTTATGTCGAGCCCATGCACCAGAAGGCTGAATCCATAGCGTGTCTTAACCCAGAAAGCCTCCCTCCAGGCAACATTCTTTCAGCAACTTGTAAGGCACCACAAGCTGTCAGAAAGGGTGGTATGGACAAGGACATCACTGAGGGCATTTTGGATTTCAGAAGGGGGAAGGGTCCAACTCCCATTTCCCAAAGAATGACTGCTTCAGCAAATGGCTGAGTGAGAGGTTAGCAATGCAATCACGGCCACAATTACATACTGCCCAGACAGATGCTGCCCAAGTGCATGACTTACACCCCAGTCATGGGTTTGACTTTTGTGGGATCTCCGGTCTGACATTTCCTAAGACCAAATCACTTTCCTTATATCTGAGGGTTGATGGGATATTTATGAACAGTGCCCATAAAATGCCACCTGGGGGCTACAGAAACTCTCGATCCCAGAGTTACCTCAGTCATACCTGCTACTCTAAGTCTAATTTAAGTCCCTGTGCTTCGGTTCCTTTAGAATGGGAACAGAAACTCTCACTGCCCTGCCTCTAAGGGACCTTGACCAGAGAAAGAGGTAGGATTTGCAGAGAGCTGAGTGGTGCAGAGGAGTAAGCCTCAGCCCACCTTCAGATGCCCCTGGGATTTAGGTGCCATCCTTGTCTGAAAATCAAAATGGATTCCACCTGCTGTGGCTCACCTTCGGGTCTTGCCAAGCTGCACATCCAGGGAACAGAACTGAAGGGAAGCCAGCTGCCCCTTCTAATCCTACACAAGGGCATCCAGTGTTTCAGTACTTGGCCTTCCACTGCTCCATTCCTTCACATTCCATTTCCTCAGCCCTACTTCCCCGCTCAGTGCGTGAGCCCACGGCAGCCTCTGCCAAGGCTGCTGGAACCCACCTGAGGCTCTGTACACGGCCACCAAGGCAGCTGACTGGTAAGCCCCTCCTTCCTGCCTTCCGAATTTCCCCCTCAGGCAGTCTTGAGATGTTTCTTCATTTCACCTCTACTCCTTTCGAAGCAGCCTTGGAACTGTTGGTGTTTCTTTTAAAAAATGAGCAAAGAGAGAGAGAGAGAGATCAGGGAGACTAGATTGGAAAGTGACCTACCCTCAAAATCCTCCAAGTCTAAAGTCGTTTGTGAGGCTTCTATTTGGATTCTCCAACGACTCTTTTCCAAAAAACAATCTGAATTTAAGTACAAGTCTCGAAAAGACTCCAACATGACTAATGATGGCTCAGAGAGTTACCAAGAGAAAATGAAAAAAACGGATTTCAGTTTCTCTGGACTGTATTTGAAAGACAAGGGTAAAGAAATCAGATCTAGCTCTGGAAACCAAAGGCGGATATAAGGCAAACCAAGCTGAGAAAAGATTAGTCTAGAATTGCTGGCAAATCCATTTTTGTTAGGCCAAGTTTATGTCACGGTAGAGTGACTTATATATACTTCATGGTGTATCGGCCCTCTGTATAACCCTAATAACGGCCACTTACTGAGCATTTACTGTTAAGTCTTTCTCTTACATTAATTATTTCATTCAATCTTGACAATAACTCCACAAGTTATGTATTGATTTCTCAGTTCTATAGATGGGAACACTGAGGCTCAAAGAAGTGAAATAGCTTGCCCAAGCCCACCATACATGGCAGGGCTGGGGTCCCAGCCTAGGTCTGTGTCATTCCAGTCAGTGACCTTCAAGAATAGTGGAGCTGAAGAACCACTGAGCTGCTATCAGAGATCTTTGTTACGGTCCCCACTCTACCATTAACCAGTGATGTGTCTCGGCACAAATGGCTGACCCCCGGGGCCCTAGTTTTCACAACTGTAAACTATGGGGCTCAGTGGGAGGTGGGCGCAAATGTCCTTCCCACACTTACCAATGTCTGATTACAGGTCCTCACTTGCACATTATTCCAGCAGCTCTCTGCTTTCTCTGGATTTTAGGATGTGTAGTTGGTGATAACCATAATTTACGGGATGCTTAATCTGTGATCTTGTTGGCCTCCAAATTACAACATTGTTTTTATACGTAAAAAAATACAGGCTGCCTGGCTAGCGTCAGCTTCACCACAAGCCCACGTTGTGCCACAGCTCCCGAGGTACACTGAGGCAAAGGTGAGGGAAGGCTTGTCAGCGACAGAGATAAAAGCAGTAACATTTGCTCGTGTTGTCCTGTCTTCTCATTATTTACAGTCCTGTGATCTTCAGTAAAGGGGAAATATTGGAAGCTAACGACGCATCAACTAAAAGAATGATGTTGATGTTGTTGACTGTTTATAGTGAGAAAGATCTTGGAAGATGTGAGTAAATCCAGGCACGGCTGTTAGAACCACACATCTGGCCCTGAGCGTCTTCATGAACCTCACCTCCAAGCCACACATAATCAGGCAAAAGAGAGGGTCAACATGCATGATACTTCGGGCTTCAGCCAGCCTTGGACCACTGAAATAAAGAACATGGTCACTGGGGCAGATGAAGGCTAAAGGGATGGGTCATAGTCTAGTCTCCAACTGCCAAGTGGAGCTAACTGTTGGTAGGCATTGAACACATAAGGCCTGGATTTTAAAACTAGGGTTGTGCATTTTTGAAGTAAAGAAATATATCTGCAACACTTTCTTCAAGACTTACTTGTTTCAGGCCAAAATACACATATGCCATAATACAGCATTTCCAAGAAATAGCTCAAAAAAGAATCTCTGAAAAGCTGGTCTGCTCCTGCTCGGGTGCCTCTGAAGATGGAAGCAGTAATGAGAACATCTGTGTAGTCCTTGTTTGCAAAGTGCTCTCACACTTTGATCCTTCTAAGATCCCAGATTCGCCGAGGTTCCAAAAAGCTTATGTAACTTGCCTGACCTGGCATTTGAACCCAGGTCTCCTGACTCTAGAGCTTTTCTCTACACCACATATTTCTGAATAAGATTTTTTCCACAAAGGAAATAAATTTTCTTATTTTAAAAATAAAATAAGGGAGGGGCGCCTGGGTGGCTCAGTTGTTAAGCATCTGCTGTCGGCTCGGGTCATGATCCCGGGGTCCTGGGATCGAGCCCCTCATCAGGCTCCCTGCTTGGCGGGGAGCCTGCTTCTCCCTCTTCCACTCCCCTTGCTTGTGTTCCTGCTCCCGCTAACTCTCTTTCTGTCAAATAAATAAATAAAATCTTTAAAAAAAGAAAAGAAAAGAAGGGAAAGAAAAATGACTCTGTACTTAGGGGGCAAGACTGCTTCTGGCTGTTTGTCATGGCTGTC